TTTATTTAGAGATCATTTAAATGTGTACTACATAGATCTAAAAATAGGGGGCTTTTTTGTTTTTGTGATTTTCTCAATTAAAAATTAGTTTGAGAACCGTGTTTTGTTGGTCCCGCCCCCATATGATTAATTATTTAAAATATACAATAAAAAATTGCATGGAATCCAAAACTACATGACTATGTCAATCAAGCTATCAGGCTGTTATGTTTGTGCATGATTTAAAATTCTTTTGTGTTAATTTAGGGACCTGTCTTTCTTTGCTTATATATTGTACAAGTCTTTTTATTATAAGCTTTCATAATTTTTTTTTTATAATTAATTTCTCTCTATAACAAATATCTTAGTAAACACTCTCTATAATGAACAAATGCAGAAAAATTACATATAAGAATGGAAGGTTTGTTATAGAGTGAACTGTAAACTATTTACAATTAATATTTTAATTAAATTGTACAAATAATAATAATAAATACAAATAAGAATTGAAAGTATAAACATAAATAATATACATACAAATATGATCTAAACAAATTATTCACAATTAATTTTAATTAATCATATCTCAGGATCTGTCTGTATTATTTCAGGGTTTTGACTACTCTAAAAATCTAAGACTATCAAATTTTGCTTGCAGTGAATCCATAGTGGTAGATTCTGTTAAAATAGCATTGGGATGGCTGAAAGAACTAATGTCTTTATTTTTTTGTAGCTTGTCATTTTTCTCTTTATCAATTATATTTGAGCTTGAAACCATTCCATTAAGCCTTGTTTCAACATATTGAATGTCAGGTCTGCTTTCTGGGTCATCCTGCCAACATGCTACATACAAGCAAATGATTAACAAAATTTAATGCATATAAATATATAGTTTTAAATATATATATATGTGTATATATTTTACCTTTGTATAAATTAATGTATTCATCAGGTGTATTAGGAATAGGTTCCTCACGAATTCCTTGAGAAATATCAAGTGCCAAGGTAAACCTTCGATAATCTTCCAGATTACTAAAAGGTGGTTGGTTACTGGTCAATTCCCATAATAAAACACCCACACTGTATACATCTGATTTTTTGTTTTTTTTATATGCTTTTTTACTGAAACATTGTGGGTCAATATAAGGTAGCATTCCTGTTAATTGTGATGCTGAAGTGGTTGTAGAATCAAATATTTTACGGGAAAGTCCAAAATCTGCCAATTTTATTGTTTTTTGGTGAACCAAGAAATTTTTTGAATGCTTTTCAAAAAAGATAAACATTATTAAATATAATTTTTTTTTAAAATAATAAATTTATATAATGAGAAATTATTTAATTACCAAATCTCGATGGATAATATTGTTTTCATGTAGACATAAAACAGCTGATGCAATCTCATATGCAAATTTCAGTTTTAGATCCCAACTGATTGACTCAAAATTTTCACATAGATAGCTTCTTAGTGTTCCACTATCTGCATACTCAAGGACCAATAAATATTTATCTTTACCTTTATATATAAATATAAATATTAGATTATTACTTGATGGAGAAAATTGAAATAGGAAATAATTTAAACATACTTTCATTCTTAGTGACACCATAAAAATGAATAATATTTTGATGGTAGTCAACTTTACGTAATAATTTCAACTGATTGAGCCAAATTATTATTGTTAGTTGAAAATTTTTTTTTAATCCACAACCAAAAATATATTGTAATTTACCTCATTAATAGCTTCTTTCATATTTATTATATCATGTTTATAGGATTTCAAGGCAAAAATACTGTTATTGTTATATATTGCTTTATAAACTTTTCCAGAACCACCATCACCAATCTTTTGAAGATTTTTAAATTTACTATATTCATGAAAATTAATGTGTTCATTCTGAATTGCCTCATTTAGTTGCTGATATATGTGAAGGTTTACGACCACCAATATTACTAGGAATGCCTGATGATTATGTGCAAATGATG